ATGGATTATTGAATTGTATAGCATATAGGCTATCTCTCGCGCGCATGGGGTGCAAATCAAATCTCAAAATGAGCCTGAAAAGGCTTGACTCGTGTACGTTGGCACATGCAGGCCAAACTTTTGTATATCTTTCCAACGCAGAGCCACTGAAAGGTGAGCCGAGGTTCGATTCGTCCAAACCAATGAGCTAACGAGCCGTGGCCAACCAACAACTCGCCATTGAGTCGTGGTTCGGCCCTCGGGTAGCGACCGTTATAAGTCTTAAATCAATTACATAATTAATCTTTAACTAATTTCAATTTTGAATTCCATATTTAATACTCAACTACTGGTCCGTGGTCTGTTGTTACAAGGGTTACAAAACTGATATAATATCAATTTTAAATGGCATGTTGAATACTATTGAATCCTCAACTCCTATATAAGTCGTTGTTGATAAGCAGATTTTTACATAACGAAAATTCAACTTTTCTCTCCCGAAACTCTACTTATACTCCTTTATTTCCTTCTGTGTTATTCCATTGCTCTTGTTCGCTGGGTTCTTTGTTTGAGTGCTCAAATATTAAACCGTAGTACGTTTTATTCTGTGAAACATAGACCGCAACACTCTTAGCACATTCGTGAGACGGCAAATAAGATTTTAAGGAGAGAGTGATTCGCTCGACTCGTACTAACCACCTACCCGCGATCCATCCGTCCCTATGCTTGAAGGCTCCTCTTCGATCCTTCGTTTCAAGTAAGTGGAATTATGTTTTAAACGATAAATCCATGTTCTGTATAGTTGTATATAGTTGCTGGTTGAAATTATAATCTACATGATTATAAATTCCATTATTTTGTTTATATATATATATATATATATATATATATATATATATATATAGAAAAATCGACTTATTAATTTCCAACACCATATACGATCCGATGCTCGTACATTGCGTATTTGTAGAAATATACGTATTTACTACATAATAATTGAATAATACATAAAGTTGAAAAACAACAACTGAAAAATAAAAACGTAAAATCATATGCCAATTATAGAAATTAAAAATTAAAATTGAATATATGGACTACAGTCGCCGCTGCAGGACACTCAACAGTTGTGTGTGTGTGGTATGCCTCCCATAAGAATAATCCTCCATGTAAAGACTGTGGAAAAATCTTAGCTAACGATAGAGTAGGTGTAACAGTTGAAAAAATTAAGGAAAAAAAAAGTATTTTCCATAAATATACAAACTTTCAAAAGTTTATAAGATTTATATTTATTATAAAAATAACTAGTTCATTCTTTTTTACCTTATTTCTTAGTAATTGATTGTTTTAGATGAACAGATTAAATCCACTAGTAACATATTTTCATTAAATATATCTGCATCTCATTTACTTTAAGTGTATGAGGATTTGACAAATTTGGCGGATTGGAGCTCCAAAAGAAATACTAATAAGTGGGTTGAATATAATTATTGTACTAGAAAGTCATGAATTTGACTTTTACTAGAATTTGAGTCGAGTCCATTATGTGTGTATCTTTTTGATCATATAATGTGTGATTTGTAAACTATTACACAAAAATAATACAGAATATTTACCTCATACACATTCTTAAATAATGGTTACAAAATTATCTCGTTATTTTAAGAACAAAAATACAATAAATTTGTGCATAGAATATAATATTCGCTGGAGACATTATAATAGTCCATTAAACATAATCTAGAGACAGCAGTCCGTAACTACCCTACCATAATGTCTCATTACAGTTTTGCATTTTCTTTAATCGAGGAATTAAAATATTTAATGAGTATATTAAAATTGTAAGTAATACAATATAAAATTGTGCTTGGATTGATGGATTCTTTAAGAAAGAGTTCATATTTCACTTTATTTACAAACTCCATTTTTATAATTATATCTAATGTAAATGAGTATAACTTGTACTCAAACCTTCAATATTACAATCATATTATTATAATAATAAAAACAATACAAAAGGAGTTTTAACTTTTATTCGAACCTCCAATCTTACGATTATATTAATAAAAATAAGTCTGTATAAACAACTCAGTTAGTCACAAAAGTAAAATTTAAAAATAATAATTCGAGATCAAGTTTCACCAGCAGCAATGTAAGAGAAAGATAACAAAAAAAAGTTACAATTTAAATATCACTTCGAGTTATCAGACAATGGAGCCCTCTTTTTATGTTGTCTGCCTCGTTTATACTGCCTATATGCCAGTATGTCCCCATTTAATGCTTTTTTCCGGTTTTGCCCCTATTCTTTTCCTGGAATGCCTTAACCCGTACATGTATGGTTAGTTGTTATTTTACTTTTTTATTTTTTTGTGCGCATGGTTTAGTTGTTACTACCTGATCTTATCTATTGTGGCGTACTGGGGTCCACATTGGTTGACGGGACGGTTATTTACTCCCTACCGAAACCTCGTGACGTGCGAGCTATGACGGCGTTAGGGTTTTTGACGGCAAAGTTAACGCTTACGGAATCTTCCTTTGTACTTTGAGAATGCAACCGATGAGATTATTTTGACGGATCCTGAAATCGTATTTAGATTTCACGAGGGCATCGCGATGACTGGGCTAGTGAATTGCACGTGAGATTCTCGTGCCTAACAATAGTAAAAGGATACACGGTACTATTTATTCTCTTAAAAATTTATGATTTTTTTTTTTTTTGCTAGAGGTAAGGGTTAACTAAAATGGACTCATCCATTTTTAACCATGGTTAAGACCAACACTTCGATTCTTGATTTTGGGTATGAAATCGTCTTAAATTTCTAGGCTAGATGTCCTTCTAATAGAGATATCTACAATTCAGCGAGAAGATTAATTACTGTGTCCGACGATTAAAATTTTAGGCTACACCAAAAAAAAAAAAGAAGAAGAATTACTCTACAGTTTCGATATTTTAGTATATAATGTAAATCATGTCACTAAATGGTCTTTAAAATTTTCAATATACTTGACATTTACTCTACATGCTACGATTACTAGCAAATATACCTATTGACTTTTCTTGAATTGAGTTATGTACCATGACAATCCACAATTTTGATTAGTGGTTGTGAGTTTTCTCATCATAACAAAATTGTTTTAGTTGCTTATTTTGTTTGAAATAATCATGTTTTTGAAGTTTGATCACGTGACCATCTACTTAGAATAATAACAGAAGTGTCATCACATTACATAATAGTTGACATTTTAATTGCTTAAGCGAACAGAAAAAAAAAAATCCCTAAATAGGCCTTTATGGGCTTTGAATGCAAATTATTGTGTGGACTATGGTCCACATAGTGTTATGTGGACTATAACAAAAAATACATTTTTAATATACTAAATGTACATTATTTTACAGTATATAATATAATGTACATCTAGTATAAAAATAATGTATATTCCCTAAATATAATATATATTATTTTTGTACTGAATGTATATTATTTTACAGTATACAAAATATGGTCCACACACTAATGATTGGGCTTTGAGCTATTTGGATTTGGAGAAGAAGAAAGATATTTTTGGGCTCAACAGTTTGTTGGGCCTAAAACCAAATCCACAATTTCTTTTGCATAGGCTGCACAACAATTATAATGGGGTGTTTGGTATAATGAAATTGTCATTCATATCAAATTTTGGTAAATTATTGTGTGGACCATGGCCTACATAGTGTTATGTGGACCATAATAAAATGTACATTTTTAATATATTTAATATATTAAATGTACATTATTTTTGTAGTGTATGTATATTATATAATATAATATAATGTACACTCAGTACAAAAATAATGTACTTTCCCTGATTACAATGTACATTATTTTTGTACTAAATGTACATTATTTTTATGCTAAATGTACATTATTTTACTGTATACAAATATGGTCCATACAACTTATATAGATCATGGTCCACACAATAATAATTGCCAAATTTTATAAAATTGTAATTCTATGGTATAATTCACGAAATTAGGCAAATTATCTTGTGAGCCTGAGTCCACCTGAAATAATAGAGTCGAATCTAAAATACATAATTTACACACTGAAATTCAAAATATACACCGGAGATGCCATTATTTAAAATCAAAAAATTATTTTCGTCTTTAACCAGTTATTTTTGTGTGTGCCCATTTAGTTCTTAACTATCAGTCTTATCATCAATCATCATAAGACAATTTATTGTTTTGATTTAGTCACCGCCTAACACAATCTATTAAATCCCAAACAATAACTATGAAATATCTCTCTTTAAACGTCATGCAAGCACGTGAGATCAAAGCTATCAATTTACACTTGGAGTTAACCGAGTATGCTAATATACACTATTCGTTCCATTTAATGTCAATGGCTCAATTTAAATTATTTGCAATTCAAATTTTTATAATATTAATTTAAAATATTGTCAGGATTAGGGACCAAAGTTTAAACTTCGGAAACGATAATGTGAGAATTATGCTTGAAATTGACAGATCTCTTTGGGCGTAACTACAATTGGCTATGTTTGCTGAGTCATTAAATCACTGTAATTTACATCGTTCCAAATGCTCTGTTGGGCCAGGGTGTAAGGAACCCTTGTAATCAGAAATTCAATCTTTTGGGAGAAGAAAACAACAATTCCAAACTGTTTGCATGAGTAATTCAACTAGTCACAAAATAAAATAACCTTCTCTCAAAAACGTTTAAGCCTGAAAATTAAATTTTGTCACAAATAACGTTCGTGTGACTCTCTCAAATGGGAGGTCATGGATTCGAACCTTAGTGGGGACAGTGTTAACTCATTGAGCTTCATTAGATTGAGAAAGTATATATAAACTGATAGTACCTATAACAGGTCAATAATACTCAAAAAAGAAAAAGAAAAAAAAAATCATTTGTGTACTTTCTCATAAATCAAATATTTGAAATTAATGTAGGAAAAGTAAAAGAAAAAGCATCAGATGCCTTACTCTTTTGCTGTCTTTATAATTGTTTTATTATTAATAACAGCCCATTCGCTCCCAAGCTTCTTCGTTGACACATAACACTTTCTCCTTTTTCTTCTCTTCTTCTTCGTCTCTTTCCCTCTGAATTTTCTGCTCCCAATTTCTCCTCTCCCAATGGCGGATCAGCTCACCGACGATCAGATCTCTGAGTTTAAGGAAGCCTTCAGCCTCTTCGACAAGGACGGAGATGGTCAGCTCTTCCTTTTATTACGCACAATCGAAATATATTGTCGGGATTCTGATATCACAGTCTCTGATCTAAACACTTGTTCGTTGTTGATTATTTTTTTAAATGTTTTGCTTTTATTTGTTGGGATTTGTTGATTGTTACCGGATTCTGATGTGTGATTGCTTGATTTATGAGCTGGGATTTTGTGATCCGCATCCACGTTGACCTTTAAACTGTTCTCGGGTGATTGATTTGATTTGATTTGGATTGTAAATGCTTGATGATTTGTTACGTATTTTTTTATTTTAATAATGATAGATAAGCTCTGTTGATATCCTATAAGGATGTCTAAATTGTGTGATTATCTTTGAAAGTTTTGATTTTGATGAATATAGAAGTTAGATTGTGCACATGAATGTGCAGATATGTTCAGTGTTATTTTGGATCAGATTTCACTATGATTCGTGTGGAAATGTGATTTTTGTATTGAGTGAGTTTTGCACTTAAACTATGCTTGGGAATAGTAAACCATAATCAACCTCTAGCTAGCATTTTATTTGTTTCCCTGAAATCTTTGAAATTTTTTGTATTCATGGGATTAAATTTAATTTCTTTATCTGAGGGATGGAGTGATTAAATTTGTTTTAGATTCTTCTAATTGAATTCATTGAGGAATTGTGGTGACCTTTTTATGGATAGTTTGTGCTACATACAAATGCAATGATACATTTCTTCTTTTGGATCATAATTCCAAATGTGCATCTGGACACCAAAATATTTGGAGCACTTCTGTTTTGTTGGTCTGCAATGTGTTAGAATGTTGCTTCACCTGCTTGCCTTCTCTTTAAAAGAGTGACCCTTGAATCCTTGATGTCTATTTTCCAGAACATATTTTATTATTGACCTAATTGCTACATAAGGGATGAACAGGGGCATATGTTTTTCAAGCTTCATGTGATTGTTTATAAATTTGGTGTAGGATGCATTACTACCAAGGAGCTTGGAACGGTTATGCGGTCGTTGGGACAGAATCCTACTGAGGCTGAGCTTCAGGACATGATCAACGAAGTTGATGCTGATGGAAATGGGACAATTGACTTTCCAGAGTTCCTTAACCTCATGGCTCGCAAGATGAAGGACACCGACTCTGAGGAGGAGCTGAAAGAAGCTTTCCGTGTGTTTGACAAGGATCAGAATGGGTTCATCTCTGCAGCTGAGCTTCGCCATGTCATGACAAACCTAGGTGAGAAGCTCACTGATGAAGAGGTTGATGAGATGATCCGTGAAGCTGATGTGGATGGGGATGGTCAGATTAACTATGAGGAATTCGTCAAGGTCATGATGGCCAAGTGAGAACCTGATCAATCCCGAATTTAATCTTTAGAATTTAAAAAAAAAAAAAATCAAAACCAAAAAAACAAAAAACAAAAAAATGAAAAAGAAACAGGGCATATAAGCTTGAGATTTCATTTCTTGTTAGGATGCGTTCTTTGGTGCTATTAACTTTGTTTGGGTGTTTCTCTGTTTTCTCATTTGCATTGTTTGTAGTGCTACTCTTTGGTGATTTTGTTTGCTCTACCCCTTGTTTTTAGCATTCCGGGTTGTACTCACTTCTGGTACTTTCTTCCCCTTTGAACCTATCATTTATGCACTTCTGTGCTTCTTTCTTATGAGTGAATTATTTTCTACTCCATCATCTGTCAACTGCTCTTGCATCAAGATTATGTGATTTTCATTTTGAATATATCAGGTTCTCGTGTTCTATGTAGCATTGTTACATAGTTACATCCTAGATTATAGTACTAGGATTGTGTTTTTTTTTGGGACCAGGAACTATAGTTAAGCTTTGGCATATATTCTCATTGCCCATGAAGACGACGTCTAAGCATTGGAATCCCCTCTGTGCGTGGTTGGTTGTGGGATTTTTGTTTCTACTCCATTGCCATCCCTAAAGGTTTTCGTGATAATAGGGAAAGAATTCTGCGCGTAAATCAGAGGTAATGGAGCCCCATATTCTCATCCCTACAGGTTTCCATGATATGGGAAAGAATTTTGCCCATAAATCATAGGGGAGAATCGAATTTCAGGTGGGAACCCTAGACATGGATTCCATAGAGATTGAAACTTTGGTGGATGGAATGAAACAAAGAGAAAAAGAATGGAAAGTGGCATGGGCATTGATGGTCTTACTCTTAGGAGAGGACATTGCACAATTATGTTGTCACAATTTAGTGGGGCAAGTACTATGGCACTAGGCCACACTGGCAAAGCATATTCCTGTTTTTGAGAAAATGACCCAACTGTTTCATTTTGTATTGTGAAAAGGGAGGAAAAATAGAACGCATTTCAAAATTGTACAAAATATGAAAAAATCCATTTGCAACTTGAGTTTCTTGTCCGAAACTCAAGTCACAAATGAATTTCTCAAAAACTAAAATATATTTTTTTCTCGCTAAAATACAAAAAAACACATGTTTTTCTTGTATTATACGATAAACGCATCTTCTTTACTGATCCTAACTCTAGTACTCCACTATAGAATCAAAAGAATTTATACACCTATGCACCATGGAGCATTGAAGGGGCTCTAGTTGTCCCTATCCTCATGGACCAACTCCCACACACATATATATCCATTGTGTGTATCTTTTCGGTCCTCGGAGAGAACACGACTGACACAGATTCATGCCGATGGACCAAAAAATCTTTGGAATATATACTTTTTGTTTTGATTTACTTTGCGTCAGACTCCACTTGACACTAATTTCATTAGTAGGGAATTTAAATATGTCAATCTTTTTAGCGTAAATACATATATGAGTTATACGATCATTTCTAACATATTTTAAACGTTATGTTAAGAATTCAAACCAAACATTGGATTAATTATTAATAGAATAAAAGGGACTACATATATTAGCTTAGTCCTTAACAAAATATACCCTTTGTGTCATAATCTTATTTTTTGAAAGTACAAGATTCAGAATGGCGTAAATAAAATGATGTGAATTTCTCCAAGAGACTTGAACAGTTAAAGATTCTAATCGACACCCCAGTTTTAGTCACTGAAAATATTGATTTGTGGATGTATATTGCTTCTTGCAGAAGGCGAGAGAGGATGATGATGGAGGACTAAGGGATTTAATTGACTACAATATAATGAGAATAGCAAATAAAGGGTAAATCTGGCATTTCACTTGGTGAGTGGAGCAGAATAGCAATATGCTGATTGAAGGCTTGTAATACTAGCTAGCTTAAATAATGTTTGAAGTTTGATATGAAATAATGTTCGTGTAACATTTTTATTCGTATTATTTACGACAATATATAATTTACTCCCCTTGCCCTTTAATATAGCTTAAATAATGTTTGAAGGCCTGGCCTGAACGTTCATGGCCCAATCATCAAAACACAACCCAAAACCTATATTCTACCCAAGAGAGATAAAATCGGTCAATTATATTATTGGTCCTAATATATCCAAAATAAATAAACTCAACATATCATATATCCGGTCGTTATATCGTGGACCGCGGTGTACGTGCACCGCGGTCAAAATGACGCTGTTTCTTTAAGTAAAGAAATGACACATCTTTACTTTTAACGGAGCGCGTATTTTTTGGTGTGTTAATTACTAACTGAATCTACAGTATATCTAAACTGACACTACATTGTATCTAAAACGACACGGCCTCACGTATTATTTGATATATTATCAAATGAAACTGCAGTTATATCAAAATGATACTGTAGTTGTGGTGAAATGAAACTACAGTGTATATAAAATAAAACTGAATAACATTTCACATATTTGAGTGTATATTGTGCAATGAAGCTGTAGCTATATCGAAATGATCATGTAGTTGTGTTTTAATGAAACTATAGTGTATATAAAGTAAAATTAAATAACATTTCCACAGATTTGAGAGTATAAATATCGAATGAAACTCTAGTTATATCGAAATGAAACTGTAATGTGTTGAACTGAAACTGCAGTGTATACAAAATAAAATTGAATAACAGAGTTACTTTTTGCGGAACGGTACAAAATGAGTGCCGGTTCTTTTCATTAAACAAAGCGACGTTATTTTGAAGCTCAGTGCATAATCAATTATGCACCGTGGTGCACGATATAATTTGTCTCATATATGATCAACAACAACAATCAATATTAATTCATTAGTTGTTTTAAAATGAATTCTTAGGTTTTGTGTTTTAATTATTTTTTGGTACTACCTTCAGGACTCAACCTACTGGAGTACAAAAAATCAAATAACACTCCTACTAAAGCTCAAATTAAAGAGAGTCACTTCATCCCATTAGACAACAAAGTCATTGGTCTGTTTTAATTATATTCTGCTAGTAACTTAGTGTGGTTACATTTGTGTTGAACCTATAATATAAAAAAAAAAAATTAAATGTGTAATTCATCATTCAATTTATTAAATTATTAAAGTGAATTGAAACTCATGGTAATGCATGATTGACTACATGAATAGCCATTTTTATTGCAATGTAGGAAGTACACATTATGATGAGATAAATTCGTGAAGAAAAAAAAAACAGTTGTAGAACATATATCACATGCTATAATCGGATAATATATTACGGAGTAATATTTAACAAAAAATATTTAATATTGATATTTTTCCAATGTCGATAAAAAAAAACTCAAAATGGTAATGCATTATAATAATTTTATAAATAAAAGTCTTTTAATTTAATTAATAATAATAATAATAATAATAATAATAATAATAATAATAATTCTCCATTAATTAGTTCAATAATAATTTAGTTTATGTAAAATATAATGCGTTATTAGCTGATTTAACTCCAACTACTACTTACTCTTCCACATCGATCAACGTATTTTCTTCCCCCCAATTTTGATCAAATTTTTTTGGTATAAATTTGTTATATATTTTTCTGAAATTCTCTACATCACCACTCCCAATTCTGAAACTTCTGCGTTGCATTCTTTCATGCAAGAAATGAGGGCGTTTAAGCCAAACAATCCAAGTGGTGGAGGGGATGAAGAAGAAGAAGAAAGGCGTAAAAAGTTTACCGATATCTCTAAAGATCTAAGTTCTTTGTGGGGGAGAAAGAAGATGCGAACACCACCCGAGGCGGAGGCGGCGGCGGCGGAGGGTTTATTGAACCTGGGGAGAGGTAAAGAAGGCCCCTACTGCCATAGCGCTTGCTTTCGCGATGGGATCGGCCGCCATTTGTTCTACTGCAACTGCAAGAACCCAGCCGGTGAGGATAATGCCGCCGCTCATCGCAACAAGGTACCGGAGGCTTTTGATCTCAACCAGCTGCCGCCGCCGCCGCCGCCGGAGAAATCTGATGATGAAGAAATTCAGGGCGGAGGAGAGCCACATGAGGCGGCGCCGGCGGCCGCCGCTGAAGGAGATGAACATATCCAGGAGCCTGGCAGTTCCAATGAAGATAGTGGTATGTGTAGTTACCATTTATATATGTGCTTTTGATTCATTTACAGACACATAAATCTTTAACGACTTATACATAATTTTTAGACCAGGGTCCATAATAATTGCATCTTTTTGTTCATCTACTAAATTTTTAAGACCTCATTTTTAGATTGAATTATTCTTTCTTTTTTTTAAAGTTTATCCAACTCAAATAGATATTTTTCTAAAAAAAACATAATTGATGCAAGAAATGGAAGAATCCGGTGGCAGCTCCAAGAACTCGCCGTCGTCGCCGTCGACGGACCCGGACCCTGTTTGCCCCTACTGCGATAGGTTTTACTTTGGCGGCGAGGGGCTCGGCAGCCTGTTCTGCTGCAACTGCGGTTACCAATCTGATGAGGATGCCCATTACAAGCCGCCGCCGCAGGAGTAAGCTGATGATGATGAAATTCACGGCGGAGGAGAGCCGCCTAAGGTGGCGCCGGCGGCCGCTTAAAACATATCCAGTCAAGATAGGGGTATATATGCATGCATGTATAGTAAGTGCTGTGTAATAATAATACATATAAGCTTGGTCAGTTTGTGTAATATCCTACCAGTTTCGCTCCTCTTACGATCACATTTTATCTTTTATACAAACATTTACTTGACATCATTTTTTGGGTTCATCTACTTGAATTTTTGTTGTAATGAAATTTTCAATAGCTTATATTTACCTAGGGTTGACATACTTTGTACCTGTAATTAATAGTTTATGTGTCGTAAATAAATTTTTAATTGAAGTCACATAACATATTAACTACATATACATATCTAATAGCAAGGTTAAGTGTATACACATAATATATTATGCAGTATTTAATACTTAACTTATTTTGTTTATGTAGTTAACAATTTATGTGTTTGTAGTTACCATTTTATTTGTTCGTCGTAAACATGTTATGTGTCTATTTACAATCATTATGTTGTGGAACCGTACTAGATGAACTATATGTTTATAATTATAAAGCTATATATTTATAATTTTTGAACTTCATATTCATAATTATTGAACTTTATATTCACAATTATTGAACTCTATGTTTATAATTACTGAATTATATGTTCATAATTATAAAACTATATATTCATAATTTTTTAACTTCATATTCACAATTATTCAATCTCTATAGAACTATATGTTAATAATTTTTGAACTATATATTCAATTATTCATAATTATGAACAGTTTTGGAGCCGTATCCACCTTGCAAGGTGGACACAGTTCCACAACATAACTTGCCGTCTATTTATTTACCGGCACATAAATTGTAAATGACATGTACAGAATAAATCAACTATAGACACATAATTTTTGTATCAAAATTCATAATACAAGATGGACCTAGCTAGGTCCATAGTATAACAATTGCATCTTTTTGTTCATCTTGTTTTTTTTTTTTTTTTTTTTTTAAGTTTAATTACGAATTTTATCAAAAAAAAAAAAAAAAAAACATAAAAATATAACGGGGTCAACTCACTTTGTATTAAAATGACCGAAATGTCTTTGTATTTAACAACATTTCAACGATTTTGTTGACGGAGGACAAAAAATGATCATGCCACAATAATACTATGACTAAATGTAAATATTCTAATAAAAATGGACTAAAAGTGAACTGTCACCTATAAATCTAGGACAAAATTATAATAGATTTAACTCAAAATTTATCAATATTGACAAAAATCCAACCCAAAATATTTCATCGGATAACATTTTCTCAAAATGGTGAAAATTTTAATTAGTAAAAATCCAACCAAAAATTTATTGTCCAAATAAACTATTACTGATAAGATCATGGCTTAATAATCAAAACATAGCCCAAAACCAATATTCTACCCAAGAGTGATAAAATCTATCAACTATATTGAAATTAATAAATAAAAAACAAATGGTATCAATGGGGGATTAATATAAGTATGATACATATTTAAATGTATATTTTATAGTTAGTGTTTGTTCAGGCTAAAAAAACCATTAATTTTATTTTATTTTTGAAAGGAAAAACAACCATTAATTCATTAGTTGTTTTAAAAGGAATGATGAGGCTTTGAATTTTAATTATGTTATGTCAGTAATTATTCTGTGCTTGCATTTGATCTCAACGAGCTTCCGCCGCCGGAGGAATCTGATGAAGAAATTCAGGGCGGAGGATAGCCGCCTGAGGTGGCGCCGGCGGCCGCGGAGTAAGATTGAAGAGTTCTGATCCAAATAGAGATAGGGTTCTGTGTAATATCCTAGTTTCGGTCACCTTTATCTTTTATACAAACATTAGCTTCTACCAATTTTTACTTAATTGACATCATTTTTTTTGTTCATCTACATGAATTTATGCTGTAATGAAATAATTTTCAAGAGCTAATATTTATAGATGGTTTACATATTCTGTATCTGTAATTAATAATTTATATACTGAAGTCATACAAAAAATTTGCATTATTGTAAGTTTGTCAAAATGAAGAAGCACCATCCTTATAAAGCCTGTTGATGGGATACAGGAATCTAAGTTGGTACTCATACTACTCAAAAACTACATAGGGTTTTGAGTTAGGTATACCGTTACAATACATATCAACTATGGTAGGAGATCCACACTGCTTCGGCTATTACGAGGTTAAGTTTCTCGTAGATTATACTCTGTATGGTTAAACTCAACATATCATATATGATCAACAACAATCATTAATTCATTAGTTGTTTTAAAATGAATTTCTTAGGTTTTGTGTTTTAATTATATTCTACTAGTAACTTAGTGTGTGCTTGCATTTGTGCTCAACATATAAATATATAATATATAATATATAAAAATATAAATGTGCATTTAATTATTAATTTATATTTTTAGTTGATCCAAAATTCACCATTTAGTTTCTTATTAAAGTCAAACTCATGATAATGATCAAGGCCGGAGGTAAACGAGTCGATTGAGTTGAGCTTAAACTGAAATTTGACTGAGTGGCTCGCGAGCTGCTCGACTCATGGTTGACTAATTCATGAATAGTCTATTTTATTGCAATGTAGGAAGTACACATTATGACATGGGATAAATTCATGAAAAAAAAGTATTTCTAGAACATATATCACATGCTATTATCGGATAATATATTACGGAATAATATTGAACAAAAATTGATTAATATTGAATTTTTTTTTTTCCAATGTTGGTAATAAATAAAAAAAACTCAAAATGGTAATGCATTACATTAATTTTATAAATAAAAGTCTTCAATTTAATTAATTAAATAATAATAATGATGATAATTCTCCATTAATTAATTAAATAATTTATTTTATATAAAATATAATGCGTTATTAGTTTTGGCGAGTAAACATCAACTCCAACTACTCCTTACTCTTCCACATCAACGTATTTTCTTCCCCCCAATTTTGATCAAATTTTTTTGTATAAATTTTTTCTTTTTCTGAAATTCTCTTTATCGCCACTACTCCCAATTCTTGAGTTTGTTTTTCTTGTTTGGAGAGTTTAATTTTGTGCTGCATTGTTTGAATTCATGCAAGAAATGTGGACGTTGAAGCCGAAGAATCAAAGTGGTGGAGGGGATGAAGAAGAAGAAGAAGAAAGGCGTAGAAACTTTATCGATATCTCTAAAGATCTTAGTCCTTTGTGGGTGGGAAAGAAGAAACGATCACCAAGGCCACAGCCACCATCCAAGGCGGCGCCGGATGAAGACGGCGGCGCCGAGAAGAGAGGACCGAACAACGACGACAAAGAATTGGCCGCCATTTGTTCTACTGCAACTGCAAGAAGCCACCGCCGGCTTTTGATCTCAACGAGCTGCCGGCGGTGGCTTTTGATCTCAACGATCTGCCGGCAGCGGCGGAATCTGATGAAGAAATTCAGGGCGGAGGAGAGCCTACTGAGGTGGCGCCGGCGGAATCTGATGAAGAAAGCGGAACAGAGCCGCCTGAGGGTGGCGCCGGCCGCCGCCGCTGAAGGAGATGAACATATCCAGCAGCCTGGCAGTTCCAATCAAGATAGTGGTATGTAATACCTTTATCTTTTATATAAACATATAAGCTAGATTGGACAGTTCATATTCTGAACAAAATACAAAAATAGGGATGTTGTGTAATATAATAGTTTCAGTCCTCTTATACAAACATTTGCATCTACCAATTTTTACTTGATATCATTTTTCTAGTTCATCTACTTGAATTTCTGATGTAATGAAATTTTGAAGACCTCATTACATATTCTGTACATATTATTAATAATTTATGTGCTGTCAAAATAAATTAACTAGATTTACATATAATATGTTAATTGTAGATACATAATATATATATGTTTGCAGTTATTATTTTGCATATGTGGATAGTTAACTGTTTATGTGTAATCATTTATTCATTTTATTTGTTCATGTGCCTTTAATTCATTTATAGACACATATAAATGGTTAAAGACATATACATAATTCTTGGGCATTGCATCATTTTATTTATGTACTAAATTTTCAGGAGCTCATTTTTAGATTGAGTTATTTGCTCAATTATTCTTTCCTTTTTAAAGTTTTTTCCAACTCAAATAGGTATTTTTAAAAAAAAAATTAATTATAAAATCATATTGAAGCATGAAAAATAATTTTTTATCTTTATCTTTTATCTAAAGAAGAAGGACGCGAAGAGCAAGAAAGGGAAGAATCTGGTGGCGGCCGCAAGGAGGCGCCGCCGCCTGTTAATCAGTGCCCCTTCTGCCATAGGAATTGCCTTAGCAGCAGGGGGATCAGCCGCCATTTGTTCTACTGCAACTCCAAGAAACGAGTTGATGAGGATGCCCATTGCAACAAGGTACCGGCCGCTTTTGATCTCAGCAAGCCGCCGCCGCCGGAGTAAGCTGATGATGAAGAAATTCAGGGCGGAGGAGAGCCGCCTGAGGTGGCGCCGGCCGGCGGTGATATCTTTTAAGTGCTGTGTGATATCTTTTATATAAACATATAAAGCTTGGACAGTTCTGATCCAAATAGAAATAGGGTGCTGTGTAATATCGTAGTTTCGATCCACCTTTATCTTTTATACAAACTATAATGTAGTAAATACACGTATACAAACTACGATCCTAGGTCGGTTTCAGTTTTACGGATTCTTTGTCGGATCTGCTGGTTGATTTAAGGTATAGTATATAGTCGGTCTATGTGACAGTAGTTCCGAGCTGAGGTATTCGAGCTAGTAGTTATTATGTATGGAAATAGTTAAAAGTCCATTCAGACATCAATTAATGCATAGCCAAGTGAGGGAACAGGTCCCGACATGTCGGTATGCCTGCCGCGTAGAGACCATGCACGAGGACGTGAAGGCGGAGGCCCAAAAGGCTAGGGCCACGTGCCCTTAGATTCCTGATCACACATGATTGGACTTCGAGGCCTCTGGAGGGC